TGATATGAGTTTGCTTATATCTCTTTTAAGACATATGACTATAAAAAGGGGGATTGGGAGATTGTTAAAAAATACACCTGGTGAAAGAAAGAAATGTTAAGTCTCATGCAGCCGCTACCTTTGGATAGAAAACATTTCTACGTGTACATTTATTCCAAGGGCCATTTGGATATTTTAACATCATTCAAGGGACATACAAAATGACCAACTTACAACATCAGCCTGCTACATTTGGTCAAACATTTAACTAATGGCTTGGCAGGACCAGAGCAAATAATTTTGAGGGCCTTATATGGCCCACGGGCCAGACATTCCCCATCCTTGAAACTAACAACTGAAAATCCAGTGGTGAAATGAGGGTTAGTGGGTAACATCCAGGGAACTGAGACAGAAAACTGTGGTTTACTGAAGAGTTGAACTCTCAAACTTCATATGTAGGGGATTTCTGAAAATTGTTTATAAAAACATAAAATATTGTTAAGACTTACTTCTGCCCACCCCCTCTTTATAAACCTTTACTATCATTGAACTATAACTTTGGGAACATTCTTACAATTCACTATGTTGAAAAGCTGAAAATTTGACCATGGCCCTGACCGGTTTGGCTGAGTGGATAGAGCGTCGGCCTGCGGACTGAAGGGTCCGAGGTTCGATTCTGGTCAGGGGCATGTACCTTGGTTATGGGCACATCCCCAGTAGGGGGTGTGCAGGAGACAGCTGATCGATGTTTCTAACTCTCTATCCCTCTCCCTTCCTCTCTGTAAAAAAATCAATAAAATATATATTTTTAAAAAATTTGCCCATGGACTAAAAACCTCTCTAGAAAAATTAATTCTAAAATTATCTGATAGTTCAAAAGCTTTTAAAGTCTACGAGGCCAGGTAGGAGCACAGGCCTCATCACCTCATTATATTACTTGTAGATGTGAGACTTCAGGCACAGAGAAATAACCACTCAACATGCGTGGCACATTCTAAAAACTAACAGACCCATTACTGTGATGATAAATGAACAAATTCTTCATCTATTACAGGTACAACAAAGGCATTATATTAAACTCAAGAGAAGGAGAACAGGAGGAGGGAGAAGAGGGGAAGAAAAAAATAGGTACAATAAGCACTAGAGAGGATGCAGAGAAGTTGGACCCCTGTTGGTGAGGTGGGAAACGGTGCAGCCATTGCAAAAGGCAGTATGGTGGGTTCTTACAAACACTCATTTGTTCCAAGGAGTGGGTCTGCTAAGTTAAAACTAGGAAAAATAAAACTGCAAATGATACTATTTCCTGAGACATCCATTCACATATTGTACATTCTCAGCCAACAAAGAAAGTCTGTGCCCTGGCTAGTTGGGCTCAGTGGATAGAGCATCGGCCTGTGGACTGAAAGGTCCCAGGTTCGATTCTGGTCCAGGGCATGTATCATGGTTGCGGGCACATCCCCAGTAGGGAGTGTGCAGGAGGCAGCTGATCAATGTTTCTCTCTCATCGATGTTTCTAACTCTCTATCCCTCTCCCTTCCTCTCTGTAAAAAATCAATAAAATATATTTTAAAAAAAAGAAAATCTGCAACATTAAATTTTACTATTAAAATAAACACTGAAGATAGCTGTTAAAATAGAAGGCATAGAATAATAGTTCTCATTCATAATTTAGCAACATTAATGAATTTCAAAAAAACTAGACATAACTGGCATCCGATGCCAGGAAACACACACACACACACACACACACACGAAAATGTCAGACTTACAACAAAAGCAAGCTCTGAGTTAACGCAAATGAATTCTAGACAATATTTCTTTTGAAAATATTACCTCAATATTTAATTGAGTACTGCATCTGCTCTTATAAATCACTGAGACTCTTCAAGTCAACTGAGGCATTGCCATAGTATTTTGGATTTTCATTTTAGAACATGTTAGAGATTTAAAGCTCCCATGTACAAACCAGGCTAATTACTTCCTCTGAAAACGAAGTTAAATAGAAGTTAATGTATTATGTTTCCTTGGGAAGATCCTATGATGTAACAGACAATGTACCTATTTCCTCCTGTGCTGCACACATTCTATTCTAAGACCAAAATAGCTCTGAGGGCAAAGAAAAGGCAACGTCTAGGAATGAGGCTCCAGGAATACCCCCCGTTCAGGAAGGAGTCAGCAATTCAGGGTGGAAAGAAGTCAGGGACATCAAACCCACAGGCCATGCTCATAGCCTTTAGCATATGACTAGCAGACAAATGCCTAATCTTTTTTTTTTAAATATAGTTTTATTGATTTCAGAGAAGGAGGGAGAGAGGGAGAGAGGGAGAAGAAGAGGGAGAGAGAGAGAAACATCAATAATGTGAGAGAATCAATGATCAGCTGTCTCCTGCATACCCCGCACTGGGGATTGAGCTTGCAACCCAGCATGTCCCCTGACAGGGAATTGAACTGTGACCTCCTGGTTCATAGGTCCACGTTCAACGACTGAGCCACACTGGCCAGGCACTTTCCATATTCTTATATAGAAATAAAAACTTCTGGGAGGCTAGGGTTTTGTGTATTAAAAAATGAAATGTGTACTGACTTTTTTGGATATAAAGATATTTTTCTTCTTTTGCCTCCATAGCAAGGGTCCAATAGATTGAAAAAAAAAAAAAAGAATTTCCACTCATTTATGAATTGAGGCCAAAACTGGCATTAGAAGAAAAATCAGAATAAATTAATAACCCTAGGAAAATGACATTGAAATCATTGCCTTTATTGTAACCCTGTTGGATGATAGGTTAGAACTGTCAAAGTCTTCTAAAAAATGATTGGTCAACAGAAAAAACAAAGAAACAACAAAAAAAAACTCACCTTGATTTTTACTAGCTACGTGCTGACCTAATTCAATCGCTGTCCAATGATAACTTGAAAACAGCCAATAAATAAAATGCGGCTTTCTGGTTGACTTTCACTGAAATCTATAATTAATTGCCTTTCACAACCAGAATATCCCATCCAGCTTTGAAAAGAACAATTCTCATTACTTTTCTCAAGATGCGCTCTGGATATATGTTCTTTTGGCTCTCAGTGTAAGAAGTATTTTTTCCAGCTTTTAAAATGTATATGTGTTACATATTGTATAACCACCCTCAGAAATAAATTATCACAAGAAATGAAATCCTAAAGAGGAACTATGCCCTGTGACAAGGCCTTTGGGCGCACATGTCCCTTGGTCAAGTCAATGAGAGTCGAAAGCCGCTTACATAATGCCCTGGCCACAAGGACTGGGAGAGCGTGGGAAGACTTGGTCTTAAGGCGCGTTGCATAATCCTGTCTCATTCTCTGGAGCTTTTTAAAGGGGGAAGGAGAGAGGCAATGATACGTCAAAGATAGTTTGGCTGCAATCCTGCCCGAAGGCTTGACAATGGATTCTATGGCCATCCCAAAATCTGGATAAGAATCCATGGTAAGCCCTAGCCAGTTTGGCTCAGTGAATAGAACTTCGGACTGCGGACCAAAGGGTCCCGGGTTTGATTCCAGTCAAGGACATGTTCCTGGGTTGCAGGCTCCTCCCCGGCCGGGCCCCTCATCATGGCCCATGAAGAAGGCAACCCATCCATGTGTTTCTCTCACATCGATGTTTCTCTCTGTCTTTCCCTCTCTCTTCCACTCTCTCTAAAAATCAATGGAATATACCCTTGAGTGAGGATTTTAAAAAAAAAGAAAGAATCCACGATGATACGAGAGATTTGGTCCACCTTCAACATCTTTGGAGTTCAGATGCCATCACTGGCCACAGAAAGGAGGGGCTATTCCATCTTTCTGATAATTACTGCCCTGATTATTACATTAGACTTTCACAATTTAATCCCTTTATGTGCCTCACTGCCTCTCTGGGGCTAAGTAAGGACCGTGGTGGGTCGCCTGCCGAGGGAGCTAGCCGCGTGGCCTCACCCAGTGCGCCCAGCTGCCAGCTCCAAGCACAGCCAGGTGGGCAAGCCCAGAGCGCTAATCTGGACAGTGACATCTCTGTCTCCCGCTCAGAAGCCTTGCAAGTTGCTCTCTCCGATACAGAGCGGAGCTGAGCATACACATCAATGCCAAGATCAGCCTGGGCCCCGCTCGGCCAGGCTCCTGGTCGCGTTTCAGCATCTGAAGGAAGACTCGGGCACAGAATTCCCACTGCTCTATCCCAGGGATTGCTCAGTCACTGCTGCAGAGCTAATAATATTAAAGCCAGTTGATTTGTTTAAACAACTCTCGGGAAATTGTTTCAAGCACTTGTTCTATCTTTAGGAAATATACTGAGGACCAAAGAGTGTAACCCACCTCCCTCCCCCCAAAAATACCTGTCTTTCTCTCAAGGCATTTGTATGAGGAATTTAACCCCAACCCACCAGCCTTTGGAAAAAAACATTAAAATAAAATGTAGATAAAAAATAGAAGTCCAGCCAGCAAGCGGCCTGGCACACAGTAGGTTCTCAGAAAATACAGGATGTCCCAAAATAATGTATGCACACACTTTAAATAATTATAAAGGCAGTGTTAATTAAAATACATTTCATTTTCAAAATTGAGCTATCAGCTGTTAAAGTGTGTATGCATTTGGGGGGAACAGCCTGTATTTGTTGAGAAAGCGGGAATGTTTTTCATACTGAGAACTTCCTTCATGTGTCAGAATACACAGTATTTGTTGATTTATCTCAAATTATT